CTCCAATCAAAAGACATAGGGCAGCTGAATGTATTAGAATACAAGACCCTTGCTTATGTTGTATACAAGAAACTCACCTCAGATCAAAAGACACATACAGGCTGAAAGAAAAGGGATGGAGTAAGATATTTCATGCAAATGGAAATGAGAAAAAAGCTGAAGTGGCAATACTTATATTGGACAAAATGGACTTTAAATTGAAGACTATAATAAAAGACAAAGAAGGGCACTACATAATAATAAAGGGATCAATCCAACAAGATGACATAACCCTAGTAAACAACTATGCACCTAACATAGGAACTCCTAAATATATAAAACAGATATTGACAGACATAAAGACAGAGATCAACAGTAATACTATCATAGTAGGGGACTGTGATACACACCACTGACAACAAGGAACAGATCCTCCAGACAGAAAATCAATATGGAAACAGCAGCCTTAAATGACACATTAGACCAGTTGGGTTTAATTGATATTTTCAGAGCATTTCACCCCAAAGCTACAAAATATACACTCTTCTCAAGCGCACATGGAACGTTTTCCAAGATAGACCACATGTTAGACCACAAAACAAGTCTCAATAAATTTAAGAAGATTGAAATCATATCAAGCGTCTTCTCCAACCACAATGCCATGACTAGAAATCAATTATAAGAAGAAATCCAGAAAGCACACAAATACATGGAGGCTGAATAACATGCTACTAAATAGCGACTGGGTCAAAGCTGAGATCAAGGAAGAAATCAAAAACTATCTCAAGACAAACGAAAATGAAAACACAACAACCCCAAATCTCTGGGATGCAGCCAAAGCAGCCCTAAGAGGAAAGTTCATAGCAATGCAGTCCTACCTAAAGAAAGAAGAAAAATCTCAAATCAACATGTTATCCCTACACCTCAGGGAACTGGAAGTAGAACAGCAAAATAAGCCCAAAAGACTATAAGGAAGGAGATAATAAAGACCAGAGCTGAAATAAATGAAATAGAGACCAGAAAAACAATACAAAAGATCAATGAAACCAAGAGCTGGTTTTTGAGAAGATAAACAAAATCGACAAACCTCTAGACAGACTCATCAAAGAGAGAGAGAGAGAGAGAGAGAGAGAGAGAGAGAGAGAGAGAGAGAGGACTCAAATTAATAAAATCAGGGATGAAAGAAGAGCAGTGACAATAGACACCACAGAAATACAAAAAAATTTTCTGAAAATACTATGAGCAACTATATGCCAACAAATTTGAGAACCTGGAAGAAATGGACAAATTTCTAGAAGTATACAACCTTCCAAGGCTAACTCAAGAAGAAAAAGAAAATCTGAATAGACTGATTACTACCAAGGAAATTGAATCAGTAATCAACAAGCTCCCAACAAACAAAAGCCCTGGACCAGATGGCTTCACAAGTGAATTTTACCAAACATTCAAAAAAAAGTTATCACCTATTCTACTCAAACTATTCCAAAACATCCAGAAGGAGGGAAGTCTCCCAAACTCTTTTTATGAGGCCACTATCATCCTGATCCCAAAATCAGACACAGACATTACAAAAAAAGAAAACTACAGGCCGATATCCCTAATGAACATAGATGCAAAAACCCTCAACAAAATATTAGCAAACAGAATTCAGCAATACATTAGGAAGATCATACAGCACAATCAAGTGGGGTTCATTCCTGGTATGCAAGGTTGGTTCAGTATCCACAAATCAATGAATGCAATGCACCACATCAACAAAATGAAAAATAAAAATCATATGGTCATATCAATAGATGCAGAAAAAGCATTTGACAAAATCCAGGAGCCATTTATGATAAAAACTGTTAGCAAAGTGGAAATAGAGGGATCATATCTCAACATAATAAAGGCCATACATGACAAACCCACAGCTAACATCATACTCAATGCGGAAAAGCTAAAACGATTCCCCTTAAGATCAGGAACAAGACAAGGTTTCCCACTTTCTCCACTTTTATTCAATATAGTTCTGGAAGTTCTAGCCACAGAAACCAAACAAGAAAAAGAAATAAAAGGCATCCAAATTGGTAAGGAGGAAGTAAAATTGTCATTATAGGCAGATGACATGATACTATACATAGAGAACCCAAAAGACCACCAAAAAACTATTGGAATTGATAAACAAATTCAGTAAGGTGGCAGGATATAAAATCAATATTCAGAAATCAGTTGCATTTGAATACACCAATAACAAACTATCAGAAGGAGAAATTAAGTAAACAGTTCCATTTAGTTGCTTCAAGAACTATAAAATAGTTAGGAATAAATTTAACCAAATAAGTAAAAGACCTGTACTCAGAAAATTATAAGACACTGAAAAGAGAAACTAAAGAAGGTACAAATAAATGGAAACACATACCATGCTCATGGATAGGAAGACTTAATATAGTTAAAATGTTCATACTGCCTAAGGCAATATATAGATTCAATGCAATTCCTATCAAACTACCAAGGGCACTTATCACAGAAATAGAAAATATAATCCTAAAATTTATATGGAAGCATAAAAGACCCTGAATAGCCATGGCAATACTGCAAAATAAGAACAAAGTCAGAAGTATCACACTACCCGACATCAAATCATACTACAAGTCTACAATAATCAAAACAGTATGGCATTGACATAAAAACAGACACATAGATCAATGGAACAGAATAGAGAGCCCAGAAATAAATCCCATATATGGTCATTTAATCTATGACAACGGAAGCAAGAATTTACATTGGGATAAAGATAGTCTATTTAATAAGTGGTTCTGGGAAAACTGGGCTGACACATGCAAAAAAAATGAAACTGGGCTACCTCCTTACACCATAAACGAGAACAAATTCAAAATGGATGAAAGACTTTTTTTTTTTTTTAAGATTTTTATTGGGGAACTGGGCGATAGGAACAGCACTGGGGAATTGGGGGAAGGGGAGCAGACAATTGCTGTCTTTTTGTTCTTCAGTCTAGTTGTGGAGAACGTTGCTTCACTGGCCCAAGTTGGCACCATCATTGCACTCTTCCTGGGTGAGGCAGATCAGTCGCCGGCTTCTGGATGGCCACTCACGGCGGCTGCTGGCCGCTCACGCTGGCTGCTGGCTACACACGGTAG